CCCGATTTGTTTGGCTGCTTTGGGTCAGCCCTCCTGGCTGTGTCCCCTCCCAGATGCCTTGAAAATTAACCCTGTGCCAGCCGAACCCAGGACAGTATCCAGCCTTTATTCTGTACCATCTACATCATGCCCAGGTCTTCAGGGAGTAATGGTTTTAAACTAAAGGAGGGTAGATTTAAACTGGATATGATGAAGAATTGTTTTACACTGAGGGTGGTGAAAACTTGACACAGGTTGCCCACAGGCCGCATCCCTGGAAATATTCCAGGCCAGTTTGGACAAGGCTCTGAGCAACCTGATTCAGTTGAAGATGTCCCTGCTCACTGCAAGCGGGTTCTGCTAGATGAGCTCAAAAGGTTCCTTCCAACTGAAAGCATTCTATGATCCTGTGTTTCTATGATCTTACACTTCCCAATGAATCACCACCACTTCTCCTGTCTTTGAGAGACAGACAGACTATGAGCCAGCCCTCTAAACCGTCCATTGAGTTCATGTAGTCCATGACTTTGGGTTCCATCTAGCACCACAGTCCTTCAGGGCAGGAGAGATGGGTGGTGCTGTTGGATGGTCATATGCTGCATCTGGAGCTCGCAGCTGGTTTATCTGGTGCAGCCCATGCTTACTGTCTGTAGATGGAAAATGTCGATCTTGAGGAAGTTGCTGGATGCCAGTTGCTCAAGCCAGGTCTTATTCTATCACTGCTGCACTTTGCTTGGTTTCGTCAAAGTTCATCCTTCATTAATCTGGGTGAGTCTTACTGTAATACCATTGATATGGCACATAGCAACTGTAGTAGTGTTGATACACAGTGGCAGGGGTAATTAGTAATTAGAATCATAGAACCATATAATATCTCAAGTTGGAAGGGACCTGTCAAGGTCATCAAATTCAACTCCCTGCTTCTCGCAGGACTAACTAAAACTATACTACATGGCTAAGAGTCTTCCAGATGCTCCTTGAACTCTGACAGGCTTGGTGCCATGACCACTTCTCTGGGCAGCCTTTTCCAGTGACCAGCTGCCCTCTCAGTGAAGAACCTTTTCCTAAAGTCCAGTCTGAACTTCTCCTGATGCAGCTTCATTCCCTTTCCTTGTGTCCTAGCACTGGTCACCAGAGATTTCAGGCTGTGATGAGGTCACCCCTCAGCCTTCTCCAAGCTGAACAAACCTCAAAAGCCAAACAAAGCTGAATAAACATCATACAGTTTAAAGTATTTACTATTCTCACTCAAAATCTAGTCCCTCTGAGATGCACATCAGAATTCCCCATCCTGCCGCATCACCCACCAAGTGCATCCAGGTCCCTGAGCAAAAGCGATCCCACGGATGGGTTGGCCTTTGCCCGTGGCAGGACTAACCCAGACTGGCTGGCCTCACATATTCTTTCGGGGCACTATTCACATATTCTTCAGGTGCACTATGGGAACCTCATCCCCTGCCACAGAACATGCAAGTTTTGACCAGGCAGGGCCAGCTCAATTGGCAATCACTCTCTCCCAGCCCATGGGCGGCTGCTCCGGTGGAGCCAGAGGTCAGCGATCTGGGTGACTCCCCCACAGCCACCCCTGAAGCAGCCCCCAGTGTTCCATGCGCCCGTCACTGGCTGTTTTCGGGAGTGCCAGGCTGTGGAGGAGGCTGCAGGTTGGGAGTGCTGGAGGTGGACTGGGGAGCCAGCATGATTCCCTTGTCCCAAAACCCCTTCTCACAGCCACCGCACTGGAAGTCCTTGGCCTCCACCTGCTCCCCTGCCAGGGATGGACAACCCCCATCCCACTGGCTGCCCTCCAGCACTGCTGACTGGCCCTGGTGCACCTGCTGTTGGCTCATCAGGTGCCACTCCTGGCTCTTCAAAAATTTCTCACACTCGGTGCAGGAGATTGGCTTCTTGCTGCACTGGAACTGCTGGTGCAGGATGAGGGTCTTCCTGTCGGTGAAGGCCGTGTGGCAGTGGGCACAGGCAAAGGGGTGCTCCCCAGTGTGGACCCAGTGATGCACAGTGAGGGCGTTCTTGTCGCTGAAGGTCTTGGAGCAGTGGGCACAGGTGAAGGGGCGCTCCCGGGTGTGGCCCCGCTGGTGGATGGCGAGACTGTTCTTGTACCTGAAAGCCTTGGGGCACTGGGTGCAGGCAAAGGGGAGCTCTCCAGTGTGGATGCGCTGGTGGATGGTGAGGGCTTTCCTGTCCCTGAAGGTCTTAGGGCACTGGGTGCAGGCAAAGGGGCGCTCCCCAGTGTGGACCCGCTGGTGTTTGTTGAGGGCGTTCCTGTCCCTGAAGGCCTTGGGGCAGCTGGCGCAGGGAAAGGGGCGCTGCCCGGTGTGGATACGCTGGTGGATGGTGAGGGTGTTCCCGTCCCTGAAGGCCTTGGGGCAGTGGGTACAGGCGAAGGGGCGCTCCCCAGTGTGGATGCGCTGGTGGATGGTGAGACTGTTCTTATGCCTGAATGTCTTGAGGCAGTGGGTGCAGGCAAAGGGCTTCTCACCGGTGTGGATGCGCTGGTGGCTGACCAGGTGATGTCTCGAGCCAAACCGCTGGCCGCAGTCAGTGCAGCTGAAGGGCCGCTCGCCCCTGTGGTTCCGCTTATGCTGGGCCAGCGCAGTCTGGCTCTTCAAGCTCTTACTGCACTGGGGGCGCATGGCAGGGGTGTTCTCCACCAGACCAGGGGTCTGCAAGGGGTGGAGGAGGGAATATTCCGACGGGACCCCCTGGCTCCCTCCTGGCTTGGTCATGTCCAGGAGCAGGGCAGTGGGTGCTGACAGCCCCTCGGGGACCTCCTCAGCGTCCCTCTGTGTGCCGGTGCTGATGGCTGCTAGGGAGGAAAGGCTGGGGTCACTGCCACGTACAGGACAGGCATGTGGGACCCCTCCCCATGAGAAGTGGCGTGAGCACCATGCCAGGCCCCCACCCTTCCTGCCTCTATGACACAGCTGACGGTTGGCAGCTGTTGCACCATGGGACAGCAGAGAGACCTCACCAGGCAGCACGGGGGCATGGAGCATCTAGGGCTGAGGGGACAGTGCTGCTGGAACTCCCAACCCCTCCATATGCCCCCGGCCCCGGTACCCACCTGGCACAATGGTCCGGTGCTTCCAGCGCACCCCAGGGGGGTGTGGCATGCACACCATCTCTTCACGCTCCATCTTGCAGATGATCTCTGGCTTGATGGTAAGCCAGCCTGTCCGGGACAGAGACATAAGCACCCTCTCCTGCACTGCCGGGACAGCGGCACATGCTCCCCCCTGCCGTGGCCCCAGCATGTCCCCCCGCTCTGCTCCTCTCTCCTGCCCCCCTTCCCTGGGCCTACAAGCCTCCTCTTGTCACCTTGGCTACTCTTCTGCACACAGGACGCCTGGGAACGGCTCAGAGCTGTGCCAAGGGAGGTTTCGCTTGGATACGAGGAATTTCCTTACAGAGAGGGTGGTCAAACACTGCAACAGGCTTCCTGGAGAGGTGGGCAATGCCCCAAGCCTGACAGTGTTTGAGAGGCGGTCGGACCATACGTCAGCACTTGGGCAGCAGCAGTGACAGCGGGATTTTCCCTTTCAAGGGAAGGGCTCCAGCTCAGTCAAACAGCTGAACTCCGGATCCACCCCAGCCCAGTGGTGCCAGAGACAGTCCTCACCCAGCGAGGCGACCACCTGATAGTTCTCCAGCATCACCTCCCGGTACAGTCGCCGCTGCCAGCCCGCCAGCTCTGCCCACTCCTCGGGGGAGAAGTAGATGGCCACGTCCTCAAACGTCACCGACATCTGCAGCAAGAAGC